TTCAAGACCAAGTTTCAGAGTCTCTTCTGAAGACATCCGTTTTGATCTTTTTCTTTCCTGTTTTTAATGACCATTTCCTTTCTTCATGGATGACGTCCAGGATGTCATCCCACAACTTGTCTGATTTTCTGTCATTAGTGTTCACTGTGTTCAAGTCTAATCTTGAGACAGTCTCTAAAATCAGATGGGATATACTCAAGGTTGTACTTTGGTTATCACAGACTTGTTTTAAATTTCTTCAGCTTTAGCTTGAATCTGCAGATGAGCAATTGATGGTCTGTTCCTCGGTTAGCCCCTAGCCATGTTCTGACTGATGATACCGAGCTTCTCAATCATCCCTTTCCACAGATGTAGTCAGTCTGATTCTTGTGTATTCCTTCTAGTGAAGTCCACATACATGGTCATCATTTATGTGGTTGAAAGAAAGTATCTGCAGTACATAAGATGGTCTTACAAAATTCTATTATGCGATCTCTGGCATCATTTCTGTCACCAAGGCCGTATTTTCCTAATACCTGTACTTCTTCGTTTCCAACTTTTGCATTCCAATCACCAATAATCATCAGCATACCTTGACTGCATGCTGGATCAATTTCAGACTGCAAAAGTTGCTAAAAAAGCTTCAATTTCTTCATCTTTGGCTTTAGTGGTTGGTGCACAAATTTGAATAATACTCTCATTAACTGGTCTTCCTTGTCGGCATATGGATGGCACTGCACTTCAGGACAGCTCTTGAAATGTTCTTTCTCATGATGAATACAACACTTTTCCTCTTTGCTTTGTCATTCCAGGCATAGTAGACCATATGTGACTGATTCAAATGGCCAATTCCAATCCACTGCAGCTCACTAATGCGTAGGATATCAATCTTTATACATGTCATTTCAGTTTTGATGACTGCTATTTTCCCAGATTCATGCTTCGTACATTCCACATTCTGATTATTAGTGGATATTTGCAACTGCTTATTTTCATTTTGAGTTGTGCCCCATCAGCAAAAGAGGGTCCTGAAAGCTCTACTCCATCCACATCATTAAGGTTGACTCTACTTTGAGGAGGCAGATCTTCCCGTCATATCCTGAGTGCCTTCCGACCTGAATGGCTCGTCTTCCAGCACTGTATCGAACAGTGTGCCACTGCTGTTTGTAAGACTTTCAGTGGCCATTTTTTTCAGAAGTAGACCACCATATCCTTCTTCGTAGTCTCTGCCTAGAAGCTCTGCTGAAACCTGTCCACCATGGGTGGCCCTGCTGGCATCTGAAATGCTGGTGGCATAGGTTTCAGCCTTAAAGCAATAAGCACACCACCACAGTATGACTATCTGACAGAGGAGTGGTAATAAAGAAATGAATATTATAAATAATACTAACAAATTATAAAAAGGAACCAAACAAATTCTGGAGCTGAGCAGTACAAAACTGAAATGAAAAACTCACTAGAACGTTCAACAGCTGATCTGAGCAGACAGAACTAAGGATCAGCAGATATAAAGATCAGATCATTAAAATAATCCAATTTGAGAAGCAGAAAGAGAAAGGAATGGAGAAAAATGAACAAAGCCCGAGGGACCTGTAGAACACCATCAAATGCATTAACACTTGCCTTACAGGGAGCTCAGAAGGAGAAGAAAGAAAGGGACAGGAAA